TCAGAGTTGGGGAGAGCCCCCTCGGTGAGCGCCGTTCCATCGAGTGATGCCTCGGGCGCCATCGCGTACAGCGGGAGCGCGCGCGTCATCAACGGTGCCACCCTCCTTGCGTGGTAAGCCCCGATGACACCCGACCCCTTCAAGCCATTCTCCTTGAGGATGTGGATGGCAGCGATGTGGTCCTAGATCTTCTTCTTGTCCTTCTCCAGGATGCCCCACTTCCTCTACGACTCCAGGGCCTCTTCGATTAGGTGCCGGGTAAACTCCGGTAGAGGGGCGGTGGCGTCGTTCTTGAGGTAGAACCACTATGAGTGCCACCCCTTGTTGGACGTTGATAGCCGCATCGATGGGTACTCGCTGACCCGATTGTTAAGGAGCTGGATGTTGGCGTACCCCATCGGCATGTGCAGCTCCTGCCTGTCGCTCTTCTCCCTCTTCTTCTAGAGGGTGATGGCGAAGAAGTACCTCCACAAATCGAAGTGGGGGCTAATCCCCAGGAACCCCTCGCATAGGGCGATGAACGCCGCCATGTGCTGGATCCCGTTGGGATTGAGATGCTGCACTTCGATCTTGTAGTAGTGCAGTAGCCCCCAAAGAAATCTATGGGTGGGGGTTGTAAATCCACGCTCGTGGAAGTGGGCGAATGACACCACATAGCCGTCCGGCGGCGATGGCACGTCCTCCTTGTCGGGCAGCTTCTTGGCCACGGTCCGCACGCTGAGAAGACCATGACGGACGAGGCCCTCCATGCGCTAGAAGGTGATGTCAGAGCGGCACCATGGATCCATTGGAGATGGGGGCGGGTGGATGCGAGCTTAATGGCACCGAGGATGTGGAGACAGGAAATCTGAGCGATTGGCGGCAGAGGTCATGGCTGTGGTGGCAAGGATGCAAGGTATGGAATCCGGGGGAAGAACCCTTTGGTTTTATAGGGGCGATGGATGCGAGAAAACCAACCGCCCGCCTAGATCTCTGCACTTGCCACGATCTGCCGCAACATCCCGCCATGGGACGTGCGCACGCAATCTCTATACGTTCCCTCGAAAAACTCGCCGGATGTTTCGCCTCTCTGGACGGGCCACGACTTGTCATGAGTAAGAGGAATACTGATCTAAAAGTGCCTCTATGGCCCGACTAGGCCGAGGAGTTCATAGGTTGGCCCATTGACAGGTTCGACAACCGCTCCAGGCACCTTTACAGTGAGAGGTGGAAAGGGATGGGCCCGCTAGCGGCCAGTACCCGAGCACATGAGCATCGCGGGCATCCTGGCCCATGTTCGAGTCTGGGCCAGTTGCGATCCATGGTTTTTTTTGAAGAAAGGTACTTAGCCCTCGGGACCGGTCGAATGGACCTGAGAACTTATGGATTGACCGCTGAGAATCTAGGGTCAGTCACCAAACTGACCCAAGCCGTATCCCCATGATCGGGATGCTCGGGACCCCACTCAGACTAGCCCATTAACAGCTCACTGGGTGCCATGATTTGTCCTTAGAGGAAAATCATGGCACGGCTCGGCCTCTCCGTTTTATCGGAAAAAACGCTTGAGGGAAGACAATCGCAAAGACGAACCGATCCTCGACCGGGCCCCTGCTATGGGAGAGGGCTCAAGGAAAGGGAATCACCGCCCCTAGGTCACGCTGTGGGCAACAAAAGAAGGCCAAGGCCTTCAGAGTCCTTCCATTCAGAAAAGCCTCCAAAGGAGTGTTCTACTCCTCCGCATGCTCGGGGGCTACTGTCGGGGACCATTACTAGGGTACCCGAAAAGAAGGAGTTAATAACCATCAACATTGATTTATCCGAGCAGTCAAGAGCGTGACTACAGCTCCAACCAACCGCTGATGCGCAAGCTCCGCCTTGCCCAGCCTCTGGGGGCGGGCTCCGCCTTGCCTGACCCCGAGGCCGCGCGGTCCGCCTCTGCCTCGCCTGACCACTGAGGGCTGGCTCCGTAGGTCTTGAAGCAAATGAAGTTCATGACCACATAAGTTCGACCAAGTGCACAAGTTGGTACGTAGGTCTTCAATCACAAGTGCAACTAGTACATAATTTGGGTACTACATGAACTCCAAAATAAGTGCACAAGTTGATGGTCATCTTGTTGACATGATCCTTCAAGATCTTGAGCATCTCAAGGCCTTGGTGAAGGTGTACCTACATTATCGTCAGAAGGGTAACTAAGGAGGTAAGACAACAAGTTTTGCAATTCAGGATACTTGGAAAATAAAACATGGGCTATGCTTACCTAGACCTTACATCCCAGGAGTGTAAAGGTTTCTCGGACGCCTCTGTCTCTTTGGATTTATAGGCAACATATTAGGAGTGTACCCAACGTCGGTGCGGTCACGATGGCAGGGCTGACGGCCATACTATTGCATACGGCTCATACCCTATAAGTATAAGATAGGCAAGATTAGTTACAATCTTTATCATTGCTAGTTCATATAGGCTAAGCCTTTTCGTACTTCACATCATACTTAACGAATCTAGATATGGACTGTTGTAACAAAGACACCAAAATATCGTTATTGTCATCAACAAGTCCCAATATACGACGGGCAAGGTAACGTGCAGTGAGCTGCTGATGATTTTCCTTCCCCTTATTTGATAGGCAAGTGTGGGGTTGGACCACTTTACTTATCCTCCACTTGCAATCACTCTATCTCTTTCGTGCATTTAACCTTCACATACAACTATTTTTGCATATCACGTGGTACCTCAACTCCTGGTCCGAATGAGTGACGGTGTATGGCCTATGGTGATACACAGCATAGTCTTGAAGGAACAGCTTCATCTCTGACATTGTATTAAATATCATCCCCTTACTAAGGATTTCATTCTCATGGTCATATAATAATTTCCTACACATCTGCAGACTGGTGTCATAAACTGCCATGCATATCCATCATGCTGACATCCCTATAGTTTGGAACGCCACTGAAAGGTACGTTCATCGACCTCAGTTGCATAAGCTCTGTCGCTATGTAAGGTAGTGGTGGGACGTACTGCTGTACTTCGCTAATTCTACCCCATGAATCATAGGGGGTACCACCCTCTGGCAAATCTGTGACTAGTCTACCCTGAGTCAGCATAGCATGAAGTACCTCAGTTGGTACTGGTAATGGCATAGCATAAACCGGTACTGGCATGGCATGAACCGGTGTTGGCATAGCATCTATACCTCCTTGGTCATCATCAGAATCATCAGAATCACTGCTAACTACATCACCGATCCTGTCCTCCTCCTCCTACTCCTCCTCTTCCCGTTCGAACTCATTCACATCGAACTCATTGTTTATACAGCCTACTAGAGTTGAATGAAACTGCTCCTACGTCAACTGACTGTAAAATCCATGTTACCCTGAATTGGTTCCCCTTGGACCCCCAATTCTTGTTCATTGCCTCCAACACCATCACTGGACGGTCCATCATGGAGACCCTGCATCCTGTACCCATTCTCCACCACCACCTCAGCCATGGGCACATTGAAACCTTGGAGCACCCTATTGTAGCGGAACCAGTGAGCAGGGTTGCGCAAGGGCATCAAGACATAGTGTGCCCTAGTCTTCCCACTATCAAACCTCCCCTTCAGTGTGAAATAACCTCAAAACTTTGCATTCAAACAGACACAAAGGTCGTCGAAGCTTGGAGGTTCATCAAACCATTCCAATTCTTCTTCCATATCCTCAAACATACCATCTTCTTTCCTAACACTTCCTCCATAAAAAACTCGAACACAACAATTCATCTACAAAAGTATTTGAGGAAACTTTATCAAGTCGTTGAAATCGTCGTATCACGCACTACTAAGTACTGACACATGAAAACTAGTATCTATACTAACTACCATCACTACTAGAAACTGACTAAACCTTAACTACCTAACCAATCCCTAAACCCAAAGTCCTAACTAACAATAGCCTATACCCTGAACCACTAATCCTAACTAACAAAAACCTAAACCCTAAATTACTAACAAAACCCTAAATCCTAACTACTTAACTATAGCAAATCACTAACAAATAATCAATTGATTCAAAATTTAATCACCAAAATGAGGGTCTTGGAGGGGCAATACCTTAGCAACAATGGGAAGAGCTCCCAGGGGTCAGCCCTGACGACGAAGAGAGCCGCCGGCGTCCTCACCGGCGGTGGCGGTGGCCGAACGACCACCCACCAAGGGAGGCGGCGCTAGCGGCCAAGGGGCTGACCCCAGCCTATTACCAGGGGAGGTGGCGCGGGCGCAGGTAGGAAGGCACGACTGGTGGTGGACGAGCCAAGGGAGGGGGAGACGGCGGCGCGCGGTGGCGGGCACGGGCGATGGCGGCGGGCACGGGCAAACAGGAAGGGAAGGGCGTGGGAGGCCAAGGGGGTGCGGCCTCGCCAGAGCAGGGGAATGGGAAGAGAGAGGGAGGGATGGAGGCGCGGTGGAGGGCCCAAGGCCATGGGCGGGTGCGACGGGAGGGTGGCGGCATAGTCGGGTGGGTGGCGACGGTGTCGGGCGGTGGCGGACGAAACAGAGGAGATAGAGAAAGGAATGAAGAGAAAGGGAAGAAGAGAGGCCTTGCCGTGGGCCTGTGATGGGCCTTGCCGCTCCATGCGGCGTGGCGTGTCAGTGCCGTGCCTAGATCCGCGGCGTGGTAGCCCCGGCCACGTCAGTGTTCAGCGGCCCTAGTTGCTGCCACGTCGCCGCTCCTGCCACGCCCCATGCATGGCGCGGCAGCGTTATTTTGCCGCGCCATGCGAATAGGCGCGACCAAAAGTGTTAGTTTTGAATAAAAATAAACAGTGTCATATTTGAAAATAGTTTTAAAAAAGTGTTAAAAAAATCTCACTTGGACTGCGCAGTCTTCCGCTCCAGCAATTGCCACAGCTCGAGGACGAGCTATCTTGGAGGGGTGGAGAAGTGTTATGGCAGTGGAAGAGGTCTCCAGGAGCATACACGGCCACTCATTAGGTCTTCATGGGCATGCACGTCAGGTCCATAGGCTAAAATAAGAAGGCGCATGCGCCATCCTTGGTTAGGAAGGAAGGAGTCAGGAGGATTATTAGGAGTTGGAGTGCACCTGAGTATAAAGGGCTTTGGATATGCTGTGAATAAGACATCGAAGGAAATAGGACCTCCCAAGGCGGCGGGTCTTCTCATTCGACAGTGGCTGCCGGCGATTCAGCCGTGGCCACTGGCGACAAACCCACCGCGCCATTGCCTCGCTATCCTCCGCGCTCCCCATGCCACCCACGCCAACCACGCCATATCACCTTCGTTTCCAATTTGGATTAAGGTGAGATTGTTCATAATCGAAACAATTCTAGCCTCCTGCAAAATGCCTTGTAGAATGTGTGATACCAGCTGAGATATTATCACGCGCTTGTGTTTGGTATGCTTGGTTCAAGTGCACTCGTAGTTACCTAGTTGGATTCGACTGGTCATGTTATGAGATCTATTTAACCCATCCAGTTTAAAAACTTACTTTGGCATTCTGCCATGGTTGCCTTGTTAATATCCTGCATCCTCATCCAGTATTTGGTGATAGTCTTACATTTTTTCTGCTACCAATATGACTGACAAAATTACAAGTTTGCCAACTAAGGGCTGCTTCTTCAGGCTAGTGTTGCTGATTCTTTCATGGCGGATCTTGATGAGCTATTGGACAGAGAAGACTATCCTGTGAGTTCATTTCTCTCTTGTGAAGGATTCTTACACTGCAGCACATTTTGTTAGCTGATTACTGACATATTGCGCTTATTTCAGGAAGTTGAAAATGCAGAGGCAGAAAACTTGGAAGAGGATGCTGATGACAATCTCCCTGACCTGAAATCTCTTGATCTTGATAGTGTCTCAAAACTTCAGAAGACACAACGTTATAAAGACATAATGCAGGTAAGCCAGCTATTTCGTGGAAATCCATGTTTTCCCCCTTGCTACATTTCTGGTTAACTGTAATTAAACTAGTATATGGTTGAAGGCACCCTGAGATTTTAAATGGGGCTGCCCATTGTTACCCACCAATGCATAAGATGAATAAGTTCAAAATTAAAGCTTCTTGTGCAGGTGAATGAATGGATACTAAACGACATAAAACATTTTTTTGTTAACTTAGTCTCTTGTACTAACAGTTCTGTTCACATATTTTATCTTCCCAGTTGAATGGACTTTCCATGATGTAAATAGTTCTTCATCAAATATTAATGGGTGTATATCTTAGAATGTAAGTAAAGTCTAAAATTATCTTCTTTTTGTTGTACTTCAGAGAATTGTGTTTATGTATTTATCTTTTTGTGCTGAAGTGTTGATCCTATCGATATTTAATTTAATTGACAACACTGGATAGTCTATTCTGCTTTGTTAAATCATTTTATTACCGATGTAATCCCTAGCATTCTTCATTTCGTAAGTCATTTTTCTAAACCCTTTTTACTTGTTGCTCACAGAAAGTTGAAGATGCACTTGAAAGAGGTATAAGTGACTCCAATCAAGGGGCCATCCTGGAAGATCAAGAGTACCAGCTTGTTTTTTATTGCAATGCTTTATCAGTAGATATTGACAATGAGATTACTATAATCCACAATTTCATACGTGACAAGTTCAAGCTAAAGCACCCTCTACTAGAATCCCGTGTTCACCATCCGATTGATTATGCCCGTGTTGTCCGGAAGATTGGAAATGAGATGGACTTAACACTTGTTGATTTAAAAGGTATTTTACCTTCTGCAGACATAATGTGGATCACAATGGCAGAATCAACAACTAGCAGGGAGCCTCTTTCTGAAGATAATTTAGTAAATACTATTGAAGCGTGCGACAGAGCTCTTAACCTTGATGCAACAAAGAAGATGCTACTTGAATTTTTGAAGAGACGAATGGGATACATTGCACCAAACCTTGCTGCCATTGTTGCAGTGCTGTTGCCTCGAAACTGATGAGTCGGGCTGGTGGTTTGGAAGCACTGGCCAAAATGCCCGCTTGTAATGTGCTGCTTCTCGGTGCAAAGAAGACAAATCTGTCTGGATTCTCTACTGCATCAATGCAGTCTCGTATTGGTTATCTTGAACAAACTGAAGTATTTCAAAGCACACCTCCATCTTTAAGACCTCAGGCTAGTAGACTTCTAGCTGCAAAGGCAACACTAGCAGCAAAGATTGATTCCATAAGAGGTGATCCAACTGGAACAGCTGGGCAGAACTTGTTAGAAGAAATTAGTAAGAAGATTGAAAAGTGGCAACAACTACCACCTGCAAGGCATCCAAAGCCACTTCCTATTCCAGACTCCATGCCTAAAAAGAAATGAGGGGGTCGTCGGCTCCGGAAAATGAAGGAAAGGTAATGTATTTGAAACTTTTTTATGTCCAATTTTTTTTTTAAAACTATTATACTTCATGTAAAAAAATGCTATATAATGCCCATTCACGTGTCTGAGTTCCCTGATTGCATTACCTGTTTGTCTCATTTGCATTTTGCATCTTACTTTGTTATATTACTGTGAGTGGCCCTTGCTAATTTCCTCTTACCTTTTTGTATCTGGGAATTCAATTGTGCAGATATGCACAGACCAACACGATGAAGCTTGTGAATCGGATGAAGTTTGGCGTGCCAGAGGAGAGCACATTGGGTTAGTTATTAGTCAAAACATGAACACTATAATGACATTGTTTAGTTTCACCCTGTCAGGAACTGGAATTTTTTTCTCCTTTTATTTTTTTTTCTCAAAAACGCAGGAGAGCTGCGCTTCATTAAATTAAGAAGAGAATAAAGGGCAAGAGCCCAAACAACACCTTACACACCACACACACGCACACGCCCCAACAGTTTCTAGGATTACACTCGCACCGGTGACATAAACACACAAGACGACCACTACTGAGTTAGACACTCTAACTACCGGGGAGGAGGGCAGTCAGGAAAGATAATCCTCGAGCCCCAGCCATAGACCATAAGCGGCGGTCCTCGCCAGCTAAAATCAGAGCACCAGCTAAGCTTGGAGCTGCTCCATCGAAAACACACCTATTGCGATGGTTCCAAATAGTCCATGCTCCAAGTATAATAAGCGAATTAACTCCTTGCCTTATCAGCCCATCAGCGGTGCTGCTGCTAGCTTTCTCCCACCAAGCATGGAAGGACAACTCTGTAGGCTGAGGGGACAGGATCTAAAGACCGACCTGTCTGAGCAGATTGAACCAAAATTCTCTTGCGAACACACAATGGACAAGGAGATGGTCAATAGTCTCTTCTTCTTGGTCACAGAGAGGACAATATTCAGGATGAGGCAACCCGAGGCGGTGCCCAAGATTTCCAGATTCTTTCCCATGGTCCAAAAAGAGTAGAACCCCTCATATGCTGACTTAGCCAAGTATTGTCCGTTGGAGGAGAGCCTCCATATGTGTCTATCCTCAACCTCCGGCTGCAGCTGAAAATCCATCAATAAATCCCATAATTGGAGAAATTTCACCAACACACCAACTGTACGAGCTCTCTGTATGTCCGAAATCCAAAGCCTGGTTAGTGAGAGCGTCCTGGACAGTGCGCTGCTTGACCCTTCTCTTGGGAATAGCTCCGAAAAGGCGAGGGGCAAGGTCTGCAATGCATTGTCCATGAAGCCACCTATCTGTCCAGAAAAGAGTATTTACACCATTTCTCCTTTTCATTAATACTCTTTCGTATTTCTATTACTAGGTGATGGCTTAGGGAAAGGTTACGGCTTTGCTTGGGCAGGCTGGAAGCGGGAAGCTACGCGTGTCTGCTGGTCAAAGCAAACTTTCTACTAAAATTGCTAAAAGGTGTGTGATTTAATCAGTCTATATACACCCTTGCTAGGGTTTCGTGGTGACTTGATTCTCTTGTAAGCCGCCATAGGCGTGTAACCCAAAACTCTTGAGATAGTGAGATTGTTGCTGGCTGGTGCCCGTGGTTTTTCCCCTTCACATCGGAGGGGTTTTCCACGTTAAATCGTGTGTCTCCTCTGTGGTTTGATTCTTTACTTCATATTCCTATACGTCGTTCATAACACGTCTTTGTATAATATATTTTGAAATTGTTTACCAGGATGCATATGCCATTGCACCGGATACCGTTCCGAATAGAAACTGCTTTATTATGCATGCTGCACTGAACTTGAATACATTCTTCAAGAAAAGCTTATTTGTCTGCATTTCCAATCTTAACAGTCCCTTTTTACAATCTGTCTCTCATCATTAATTATTTTGATATGTTTATATCAGATTCCAAGAGAAGAGTTCTGAAAGTAGTGGATCAAGATTGGGGTTGACATCAAGTTTTGCATTTACGCCAGTTCAAGTAAGTGAGTTTTGGGTTGGAGTTGCAATGTTCCTTTTCTATTATATTTAAGTGATACACTACCTCAGTTTATTTACTTAGAACTTGGTTGATTGCCATTTAAGTAACTGTTTGACTTGCCCATAATTCTAAAGAAAATCATATAATGCCAAGGAGGAACTAGGTATACAAGAATTAAGAAGAGCAACTCTCAGATTTGAGCTACCCCCTCCATTCCAAATTATAAAACGTTTTGGCTTTTCCAGATCCATTGCTTTAACTATGTATCTAGACATTGTGTATATCTAAGTGCATGGCAAAAGCTATCTACATAGAAAAGCCAAAACATCTTATAATTTGAAACGTAGGGATTACTCTTTAATTTGCTCATTTCGAAGTCATTGACAACGTTGTCACTACACAGCTTAGCGTTTGCATCTATGTAATGTCACTTTATGCTCTGTTGTCTGATTATAAGTGTAGCTTTTGACTGCTATGTTCTTTCTTATTTTTGCTTATGATCGCTACAGTTCCCCTTATCTTTCGTCCTATCAGTTTACATACAGCTCTACTTCTGTGGCCCTGTGATCCATCTTTTTGGTGATTCTTTCCCACAGGGAATAGAGCTGTCAAATCCATTTGCCCAAGGTGGTGACATAACCGAAAGCACCTATTTTTCAGACACCGGAACTTTTTCAAAGATCAAGGTCTGAAGGAATCAGTTTATTTGCCCCCCCATCTTCACAGAGTCATCATAGTCCAAAGGGTGTTACATATGAAAATCAGGTTGATAGCATTCTTGGTCATGGTTTTCACTGTGCAATATTATCCTTAGGTTACCACTTTTTGTTAGCATGTTTTGTATTTCCATGTGGTAGATCTAGTAGATGTATACTTGGCAACTTGCTGTAGCCACCAATAGAAATTTGTTTGGTTTCCTCAGTGATGAACTATGACATGAGAAAATTCTACCCGCGATTCTTTATCCCCTGTACAAATCGAATTGTCACTCTTTTCTTTGGACCATTCCTTGCTCTGCTTCCAAAACCATTTGTGATGCTGGCGTGAAAGAATCCGATCTTAATCTGTGAGCGCCCACAGTTTTGGAACAGCGGCCCTGGTGGAGCAGTTATCAACCAAGTTGCTCAACGAACCCTGAGGACTGTAGAACGCTGACGCACTGGTTGCAGTGAGCCAGTGATGATGATCAGTTCCGGATGTTGCTTGAGACTGTTGCATCGACTAGAAGCCAACGAACTTTCTCATCCAGGACCAGGAGGCAAGGGCCAACTTTCCTGTGAACTCTGTGATGGTCCTTGCTTGATGGATTGCCGTTTGTACCGAAGTCTGTTGCGCATAGGCTGCCTGCCTTTCAGATTGGCTTTGCGCTTTGTCGAATTATTTGGTCGCATAGACCGATCAAAGTGGGCACGGTTCATTGTAGCTGGACTGCCTCCAGTGAGGCCGTGCAGCCGTGTCCCGGCTTTGTTTTTCACGTGAGCTCATGAAAGGCTGGAACGATCTGTACTGGTTACTCTACGGCTGCACGCAGTACTTATACCGTGACATCCGTCGTCCATCGTAAGTCGTCGAATCGGATTCGTCTTCTCATGCCTCAGGAGTCAGGAGCCACGACAGCCAGAATCATCATCATGAATAAAATCCGGTCTCTCTTACGTATGGAAAGTGGGAAAACACACACACGCCTATGGACGCAAATTGATCCAATAGAGCACAACGTTCCACCTTTTTCCAAGAATGGAAATGACCATCTTTCTTGTAAAACCCTCTACTACTTTGTTTGGTAAAAGAAGACGACATTTTTCCTTGTTTGCACTCAAAATGTTATCTAAACTTTGCCCACAAATATATATTTTTATATTTATCCTGAATAATTTGAGGATTTAATGTTTTATTCAACTAGTCGAATGCTCATGCATTAGAGCCCCATGACTCGAGTGGTATATCTGGGTTAGATAGTTTGGTATTCCCGTCATCCCATCATACTCATAATTGCAGAAGAACCTTCGACTCGTGCTCTAATCTCTTTGCATCATCATGTTTGCCACTTCCTTCAGCATGTGTGTCTTGACGAATATTGTTATACAGTTATACACTATATCGTAAGGATCCCAAATAGAGTCATCATCTACCTCATCTATTTTGACATACTCATCTATGTCCTCTTCTAAAGTTGCAGTTAACAGCATCTTTTTTTTTTAAAAAAAAATTATGCATATAGAGTTGCTATGTGCATCCGAAAAAGAAACAACTTATTTTTATCCATGCAATATGAAAGGAGACCCCAAGAATTACTTGTACAGGTGCAGAAGGTGAATCTTGATTGACAGAGAGGTTGCCAGTGGATGTTCACAGCGTGTGAGGATTATGACGATCGTGAGTGTCAGTGCGAATAACGAGCATTTTGTCTAGGTCACCTATGATTTCTCCACCAGTTTTTATATAAGGAAAACATAATTAATGGGCCGTTGCAGAAAAAAAGAGAGGGGATGTTACGGAAACGGACGAACATTGGGATGGACAGACAAAACCCAATAGTGATAGAGAGACAGAGAGGATGGTGAGACAGTCATAAAAGATACACACTTGTGCTCCCGTAATTGCCTAGTACTGGTAGAGCACAATATTGTCATGCTTCTCACTCCCTTTTCTGTTCCTTTATTTATCTTGACGTGCGTCATCAGCAAGATTAGCAACTACACTCGTGCTGTCACGCGACTCTGCTTTCCAACCTCGAGACTGGCCTGACAAGGCCTTCGCCTGCTTCTCCTGCTTCCCCCGCCGGCAAATCCGCTCTCCTCGGAACAGGTGACGATCTCTTCATGGACCCTGTTTCTTTCTTGATTCATTTCTGTTAATGATTGCAATCGATCTCTGATACTGGAATTACGAGGGCCGTCTTGCCTTCGCCTATCATTTTCCTGCTGCCGTTTCAATCACCTTATCACGTCGTCAGGCGTAGTGCCTTTGTCTTTTCTCTGTGAAGTCTGTTCTCATTGTTGATTGTTGGTATCTGAAGAACAGTAGAAAGTGATAGACATCACCGGTTGTTGGGCACGCCGATCAGCAAAATTCCGCTGAGAAAAAAAGAACTTTGTATTTTTTGTACACCAAACTTCGGTTTCATTTTTGGTCTCTAGTACTAACGTCATCAGTGAGTCATGCCACTAAGGTAGCCTGAAATTTCCTCCCAAGTTGCTCTGCAGGTGAGGTCCTTCCTTAATTTTTTGATGAAAGAGGTCCTTCCTGATCAGAAGAGGGATTGCAAAAGAGTTGTAATTGCATACTCGGTGGTTTGTGTTGCAACAGCAACACTGTGTTTTTCCAAGTTCCATACTTCCATGGCTTGAGTTGCGTGCTCTCCTAAGTTTTCTGATAGATCACACGCCTACCATGCGTCAACGAACTAGTTTGAAGCATGTACTAATCGAACGCTAAGAAATTGTTTCGTTAGTCCATGGATTCTGCGTTACCTTTGAGTTGAGCAATTTGTGATTCATGCTCTAGCTGAAACTTTTGGATTTATTGAACACGTTCTGTTGCCAGGGGCTCTTCTTCACAGGTTCAGCACTGCACCGGCAGCCGCTGCTGCTACCGCAGAGGAGCCAATCCAGCCCGCCGTGGAGGTGAAGCACACCCAGCTCCTCATCAATGGCAACTTCGTCGACGCTGCTTCTGGTATGGCAAGCTTAGTACCTTGGACCTGTCGTTGGCGTTCATCAGGGTCTCAGCGACGTGTACCTTTAAACACCAGGGAAGACGTTCCCGACGCTGGACCCCCGCACCGGCGAGGTCATCGCGCGCGTCGCCGAGGGCGACAGCGAGGACATCGACCGCGCCGCGCGCGTCGCCGAGGGCGACAGCGTGGACATCGACCACCGCGTACGTCAGCACCCGCCGCTCCATGTTGGCACACGTTGACAACAGAGCACGCTAACTAACGGACGCGCATGGCCGCCGTGGTTTTCAGGAACGGTGCCGAATGCTGCTGCGGTTCGCTGACCTGATCGAGCGGCACGCGGAGGAGATCGCGGCACTGGAGACGTGGGACAACGGGAAGACGCTGGCACAGGCGGCGGGCGCCGAGGTTCCCATGGTGGCGCGGTGCATCCGGTACTACGCCGGGTGGGCGGACAAGATCCACAGCCTGGTGGCGCCGGCCGACGGCGCGCACCACGTGCAGGTGCTGCACGAGCCCGTCGGCGTGGCCGGGCAGATCATCCCCTGGAACTTCCCGCTGCTCATGTTCGCCTGGAAGGTCGGCCCGGCGCTCGCCTGTGGCAACACCGTCGTCCTCAAGACCGCCGAGCAGACGCCGCTCTCCGCGCTCTACGTCGCTAACCTCCTCCACGAGGTCGGCTACTAGCGTGACACGTCCTATCGTCAGTTGTCTCGATCGTAAACTAGCCGTCACCGTGGCCTGCGTTTCGTGCTGTTCGTTGCAGGCTGGACTCCCCGAGGGTGTTCTGAACGTGGTGTCCGGCTTCGGTCCGACGGCCGGCGCCGCGCTCTGTAGCCACATGGGTGTTGACAAGGTAACTCAACTCAACCCCAGCCTTTCCATGCATGCTTCAGTGGCCAGCGCTGATCGGATCCCTGAACAACTTGCACGTTTTTGGTGCAGCTTGCGTTCACCGGATCGACGGGCACGGGGCAGACCGTGCTGGAACTGGCGGCGAGGAGCAACCTGAAGCCGGTGACGCTGGAGCTCGGTGGCAAGTCCCCTTTCGTCGTCATGGACGACGCCGACGTCGACCAGGCCGTCGAGCTCGCGCACCACGCGGTCTTCTTCAACCAGGTGCGTGTCCAACTGCAACTGCAAGTCTGCAATGGTGCTGTGTCTGTGTTGGAGCAATCATTACTGCCGATTCTGAACTCTGGAACGCTTTCCCAACGCATAGGGCCAATGCTGCTGCGCGGGGTCACGGACGTTCGTGCACGAGCGCGTGTACGACGAGTTCGTGGAGAAGTCCAAGGCCCGCGCCCTGAAACGCGTGGTGGGCGACCCCTTCAGGAGCGGTGTCGAACAGGGGCCTCAGGTACGCACTTCTATTTCTCAGCGTCGTCCGTGTGCATCCGCTTCAGTTTCGGCCACCTCGGCCCTGAAAGCTTCTCCTTGCGCTGCGTCGTCAGATCGACGGCGAGCAATTCAACAAGATCTTGCGGTACGTCCAGTCCGGCGTCGACAGCGGCGCCACCCTTGTCACCGGCGGCGACAGGGTAGGCAACAGGGGCTTCTACATACAGCCGACGGTGTTTGCCGATGCCAAGGTAAGGCTCAGCGAGCTTCTACCAAAACACGTCCTTCGATTTTGTTCTCAACTTGCTCAATGGCCGCACCATTTTTGTGGTGTCTGGCTCATGTAGGACGCGATGAAGATCGCTCGGGAGGAGATATTCGGGCCGGTGCAGACATCCTCAAATTCAGGTACAAACGCATGGTGACGCATGAATGATCTCGTGACACAGCCACACAGGGCAATGTGTGTCTGCGTGGCGTGACGACTGACGGTGCAGAGCCGCCACACACGTGCGCTCACTTTTCTTGCTTGTGGCAGCGGCATGGAGGAGGTGATCCGGCGCGCGAACGCGACACACTATGGGCTGGCGGTGGGGGTGTTCACACGGAGCCTCGACGTGGCCAACACGCTGTCTCGGGCGCTGCGGGCGGGCACGGTGTGGGTGAACTGCTACGACGTGTTCGACGCCACCATCCCGTTCGGCGGCTACAAGATGAGCGGCGTTGGGCGGGAGAAAGGCATCTACGCCCTCCGCAACTACCTCCAGACCAAGGCCGTTGTCACGCCCATCAAGGACCCCGCGTGGCTGTAATCACACCTGTCCTATTCCTCACGGCGTTGCGCCGATTCGCACCGGTGCTCGACACCGGAGAATGTGACCAATAAAACAACCGTAAAAAACACCCTGGCTTCTTCATCGAACTTTAAATCCGGCGGAAATGATAATCTGAGGGCGTCCAAACGTCCGGACGCTCCCATTGTCGTCAACCGCAACGGCCCCAACCCTGCTCCAGAAAGTTTCAAAAAAAAAACCATCCACTCCAAAAGCGTTTGGATTCTGGCTTCACTTGACTCTAGACACGTGACTTGCACTCGCCGCTACCCTCCACTAGCCACTTGGTTCCGGCATGGTCCACGACGACGGCTGCGGCACGCCCGACCGCCTGCCTGGCGCCATCGTTCCTCTCCACCGCGCCCGAGCGCCGCTGCCTGCATTCCTATCTCACCACCGCCACTCACTAGTCACCACTCGCCGCTGAGTTCTCTGCGTCGATGTGGTGTGGTCCACGGCGACTGCTCCGATGCGGCGTTCTCACTGCGCCTAGCCGCCAGCCTGCCACCATCCCCCCTCTCCACTACACCCGAGTGCCGCTTGCTGCCTACCGCAGTTCCCTATCAGGTAGGTCGTAGCCACCGACGACGCCGTGTTTGATTTTTTTGATATTGTAATATTTTAATAAATAATTGCAGAACTAAGAGATAAAATAAAAAAGGGATTTGCTGAATTTTAGTTTCCTTTCAGGCGACGGTTATTGCATATATTTTATACTAAAATTGTTAATTCTGTTTATTGCAGTTTTTGTAAACACAGTTTGCAATTTTCAGAACCAAAACCACAAACCCGACAAAATTTAATTTATGTTGGCACAAAGACAATTAATAATTTATAATTATTTTCTATAGAAAGATAAGGACAAAATTTAATATATTATGATACAAAGACACAAAACAAAACACAAAAGTAATAATTTAGTGTACTTGTTTTTGGGATAATATAGGAGAAGTGACTACTGTACTAGTACTACTCAGCACGTCACAGGTTCACCTCGCCTGAACGGACTGAGAAAAACCAGGCGACTGTGACATAAGAATTGTGAAAAAAATTATAGGATCCTGTCGGCTTACAAATGGCGGACATATTATGCCACATGTATCGGACTTCCGTCCACATGTAGCGCCGACAGGGCCTATCGGCCCTCTACCGGCCGATAAGTAGAGCCCTGTTTTTGCAAAGCTGTTTTGATATTTTATTTTTTAAAACAAATTACAAATAAAGTATCGACCTCTAAAAATATTGTCAGTTTAGATGTTAAAAAGCAAATGCAACCCATTTTACATGGATATGTCATCAATTTCATAATTTTAAAATTAAAATTCTTCCTATAATCCTATATTTGAATTTCAGTTCAACTGTTTGTGTTTGATTAATCAAAGAAATTGTTGCAGAGAATTTTCTATTTGATAACCTTGGATTATCTGAGCAGATTTACTAGTTTGTACGTTAGTTTAGTTCCGTATGGCATGCATGAATGTGCAGATAGCTAGCTTAATCATTTCTTCTCTGTTTCTTGACGACGACACGTGAGCCTGCACACGCGTCTCCACTAGCTCATGTGTAGTACACACGCTAACTTTTCTCTTCTTCTTGGTGTGATCAAAGCATCATGGAAAGAAAAAGTTGAGATGGGGACACATAAGAAAGAATTTAAGTTTGGGTGCCAAATAAGCAAGCTGGACTTTTTCTAGTGTTAAATAGGAAATTTTCTCTTTTTTTTACTCAGCGCATACCTTTAGTCCTGGTTATAGTAGAAATCGGGTTAGTCTCTGCATCACCGCTTTGAGATCTGTAGTGTAATCCAGAGTGCTTCCAATATGTTGTTCTACCCAGCTATTATCTACTATAATTCTTCTTTGTCGCAAAAAAAGTAAAATGGGTTATGTTTGATTTTTAGCATCTATTTTGAAAATTACAATAATTTTGAGATATTTAAATATTTTTCTAGGATCGAGAAAAAAGTACCAAAAAAATAAACAATAAATTGGTCCAAACGTGACTTGCTTGCTTGCATGTTGGCTGGTAAATGGTCTAGTCGGCTAGCCACAGGCCGATTTGCTTATCAACCAACCAAAAGCCAACTGCACCACGTCTACGACGAGTTCGTGGAGAAGTCCAAGGCCCGCGCCCTGAAACGCGTGGTGGGCAACCCCTTCTGGAGCGGTGTCGAACAGGGGCCTCAGGTACGCACTTCTATTTCTCAGCGTCATCCGTGTGCATCCGTTTCAGTTTCAGCCACCCCGGCCCTGAAAGCTTCTCCTTGCGCTGCATCGTCAGATCGACGACGAGCAATTCAACAAGATCTTGCGGTACGTCCAGTCCGGCGTCGACAGCGGCACCACCCTTGTCACCAGTGGTGACAGGGTAGGCAACAGGGGCTCCTACATACAGCCGACGGTGTTCGCCGACGCCAAGGTAAGGCTCAGCGAGCTTCTACCAAAACACGTCCTTCGATTTTGTTCTCAACTTGCTCAATGGCCGCACCATTTTTGTGGCGTCTGGCTCATGTAGGACGTGATGAAGATCGCTCGGGAGGAGATATTCGGGCCGGTGCAGACCATCCTCAAGTTTAGGTACAAACGCATGGTGATGCATGAATAATGATCTCGTGACACAGCCACACAGGGCAATGTGTGTCTGCGTGGCGTGACGACTGACGGTGCAGAGCCGCCACACGCATGCTCTCTCTTTTCTTGCTTGTGGCAATGGCATGGAGGAGGTGCCCATGTTCGCCTAGAACTTCCCGCTGCTCATGTTCGCCTGGAAGGTCGGCCCGGTGCTCGCCTACGGCAACACCGTCATCCTCAAGACTGCCGAGCGGACGCCGCTCTCCACGCTCTATGTCGCTAACCTCCTCCACGAGGTCGGCTACTAGCGTGACACGTCCTATCGTCAGTTGTCTCGATCATAAACTAGCCGTCACTGTGGCCTGCATTTTGTGCTGTTCGTTGCAGGCTGGACTCAGCGAGGGTGTTCTGAACGTGGTGTCCGGCTTCGGTCCGACAGCCGACGCCGCGCTCTATAGCCACATGGGTGTTGACAAGTTATCTCAACTCAACCCCAGCCTTTCCATGCATGCTTCAGTGGCTAGCGCCGATCGGATCCCTGAACAACTTGCACGTTTTTGGTGTAGCTTGTGTTCACTGGATCGACGGGCATGGGGCAGATCGTGCTGGAACTGGCGGCGAGGAGAACCTTGAAGTCGGTAACACTGGAGCTCGGTGGCAAGTCCCCATTCATCGTCATGGATGACGCCGACGTCGACCAGGCCGTCGAGCTCGCACACCACGAGGTCTTCTTCAACCAGGTGCGTGTCCAACTACAACTCCAAGTCTGCAATGGTGCTACATCTGTGTTGGAACAATCATTACTGCCGATTCTGAACTCTGGAATGGTTTCCCAACGCATAGGGCGAATGCTGCTACGCGGGGTCGCGAATGTTCGTGCACGAGCGCGTGTACGACGAGTTCATGGAGAAGTCCAAGGCTCGCACCCTGAAACACGTGGTGGGCGACCCCTTCAGGAGCGGTGTCGAATAGGGGCCTCAGGTACGCACTTCTATTTCTCTACGTCGTCCGTGTGCATCCGATTCAGTTTTAAGCCACCCCGGCCCTGAAAGCTTCTCCTTGCGCTGCGTCGTCGGATCGACGGTGAGCAATTCAACAAGATCTTGTGGTACGCCCAGTCCGGCATCGACAGCGACGCCACCCTTGTTACCGGTGGCGACAGGGTAGGCAACCGGGGCTTCTACGTATAGCCGATGGTGTTCGTCGACGCCAAGGTAAGGCTCAGGGAGCTTCTACCAAAACACATCCTTTGATTTTGTTCTCAACTTGCTCTATGGCCGCACCATTTTTGTGGCGTTTGGCTCATGTAGGATGAAATGAAGATCGCTCGGGAGGAGATATTCGGGCCGGTGCAGACCATCCTCAAGTTTAGGTACAAACGCATGGTAACGCATGAATGATCACATGACACAACCACACAAGGCAATGTGTGTCTGCGTGGCGTGACGCCTGATGGTGCAGAGCCGCCACACGCGTGCTCTATTTTCTTGCTTGTGGCAGCGGCATGGAGGAGGTGATCCGGCGCGCGAACGCGATGCACTACGGGCTGGCGGCGGGGGTGTTCACGCAGAGCCTCGACGCGGCCAACACGCTGTCCCGGGCACTACGGGCGGGCACGGTGTGGGTGAACTGCTACGACGTGTTCGACGCCACCATCCCGTTCGGCGACTACAAGATGAGCGGCATCGGGCGGGAGAAGGGCATCTACACCATCCGCAACTACCTCCAGACCAAGGCCGTTGTCACACCCATCAAGGACCCTGCGTGGCTGTAATCACACCCGTCCTATTCCTCACGGCGCTGCGTCGATTCGCGCCGGTGCTCGACATCGGAGAATGTGACAAATAAAACAACCGTAAAAAACACCGTGGCTTCTTCCTCAAACTTTAAATCCGGCGGAAATGATAATCTCAGGGCATCCAAGCGTCCGGACGCTCCCATTGTCGTCAACCGCAATGGCCCCAACCCTACTCTAGAAATTTTCAAAAAAAATAATCCACCCCAAAAGCGTTTGGATTCTGGCTTCACCTGACTCTATGAAAGTGCATCTAGGTCTTTAGTGGGTTTTGGATGATTGAATGACAACGTGATTAAAGGTCTAACTCATTTGCTAAGTGTGGACAGGAAATAGGTTATCTCACCGGTACTTAATGAAAGCTAAAATGATGTGTTGTTGTATAAACAATCTAGTTTGAGCGCAAGACAACAATGCAAATGGAATTCATACAAAGGCTTATTTATTCTGGGATTTCCATGTACTATGTGAAAGCAAGCTCGTAAGAATTAATTAATGAGACATGAGGGATTGCATATGGAATGGTCTCATATTTGAAGCTTGCTAAATTGAAATGAAAAAAGATAACAATATAAATAAATGGATGATTCAACACAAGATGTGACTTCATGGCTTGAGATGGTGAAGATAGCAAGGAAAGGCTTCGAGGTACTAAGCAAGGGTGAAGGGCAAGCGACGGCTTGGTGGCCGAAGAACCTAGCTAGGGTAAAGAAGGAAGTACTTGCATTTAGTTGAGGTACTAATCAAGCTATAATGGTCATGTTAATGTGGAGGGTCAAATCACTATTGAAATGTTTGATGGAAGTGACTTGATATATTTGGGATTATTCAAATTTGATGAGTGGAATCAAGTCACGTGCTCAAGATGGCTATGCTCAAGTAAAAAGATCAATATCAACATGTGGCACCCTCACTTGATGAAGAATGGAATACACGGCTTCGATTGAAAGAGATCAACTCAAAAGGTTTTGTTGATGCAAAAGTGAATCTGCAAACACAAAGGGCTAATACCCGAATCGATATCCAAAGCGTGCCAATCGATTTGACCTGTTAATCGACAAGGATGAAGATACGAGCACTTTGGTCCTGACAACAGCGATACGCCCGGAAGTCACGGCCAAGAGGTACTCACGCAGAACTCGAGAATCACCGAAGGTCGCACTGAGACAATGCAACTCGCCGAATCAATGAGAACTCATAAAAAGAAAAATATGCAAATTGACGAAGTCGCCGAAAAGTAAGTAGATGTAAATAGGAGTAGAACTTGGTTTTGATATTGATTGATATATTTATTACATTGCCCCTCACTCCATATTTATACCCTGATCTAAAGAGACACAACCAAACACAACTAGGACACCAAGCCCATATCTAAGGAAACACGTGACTCTTACATGAGTCATACTCTAACAAATATAGAAAAGGAAATCAACTCCTATCTATTTCCCTGTCCGCCTCAATTACGATGGAAATCTCACCGTCCTCCTTCCCATCGGCATACTCCCTGTTTCATCGGCAGTAGTCTTCAAGTCTTCCTTCATCGGCATACTCCCTGTTTCATCGGCAATAGTCTTCAAGTCTTCCTTCATCGGCATACTTCCTGTTTCATCGGCAGTAGTCTTCAAGCCTCCCTTCATCGGCATCGACAATAACACCTCCAACCTCATCGGCAACGCCCGAGTCTAAATCAACCTTTCCATCGACCACCACCAGCTATCGGCAACCATCTTTACAAGCTGGCTTTCATCGGTTATCAGAGTATACAGTAACTTTCCCCTTGCCGATCAGTCCACTCCGATCATTTTGACACGTGCAAAAAACGGTGTCAACACATGCCCCCCAATTTCGGAGTATAACACCATTAATGCTCCGAAATTTACTCCAGATAACGTTTGCCTTCGCCCGATTACCGTAACTCATTCTCCAAGCCAAAACTTGATCTCGTTATCAAATCCAATCAAATCTAACTCGATTCACGCACTTGATAAATATCGCACAATCGCCAACCACTCTTGCCTTGATTATGGTTAAGATACCGAAACAATAACCCATCGGCAAGATCTTAACATGATAATGCTGTCATTTTCAGAATTAAAATATCCTGTACCAATACCTCTTCCAAATCATGATTACTTGCCATCAACTCATCTGTACAATCCCCTGATTATCGTGCGAACAGTTACCATATCCATCTGAACCACCTCGACCTACATGCGCGCGGTATAGAGATAAGTCCAAAATACCCCTACTCCAAGCGGCTTATAAATAGATTCCTCCGGAACACTCGTCTTCTACCCTCAGACTCCAATCTTTGACATTTTCTCTTTCCGGCGGCGACTCCGATGAACAACTGCGCGACCTCAACCAACAAGAACTCTTCTCCAGCGTTAACCTCAAGTCTCCGGCTCGTGCCCCCATCTTCCTCAAGATAATGGCAATCAACTTCGACGCCCCTGCGGTTCGCTCCACTTCCATTACCTTTTACTTTGATCCCCCTAGTTTTTGCAAATCCATACAGTTGGTGATTTTTCCTTTCTTTTGTTCTCCGGATCCTTTAAACTTAGGAACTGCGCAACAAATTAGTTATTCCAACCGATCAGCCGCATGTCCAATGCCTAGGACCAATGGGCAACCCAGATCCAACTGATCTGATTAATGCAGAGGTTAATGAATCCCTTTAGAGCCCAAAATTTCTCTCGAATTTATGGAAAGACACATTCCGATCTTGGCCCAAGACCACCAAAGGGTGGAAAGATTGGTACTTGAGGGTTAATAGATCGATGCAAGTATACTGGGCAGAACGGAAGTTAGACCAATGCATTAGGCTATCTATTGCCGATATGTAGAAGAATGAATCAATGATGATTGCAATTGCTTGCTTACTCGGTCGGACACAACAAACACTTTTATGTTTGGACATGGCCTGATTACTCCCACACTTGCCGATGTCCACATGCTCACTTTGGCTTGGATATTTCAAGCTGCCGATGAAGGCTCCATCTATGGTAGAAAATCTGAATATAGGGTGAATACCCACAACATCGGTGGTTGGACGGGATACATTCAAGAATACCAGAAGACAGGGACACTTAACCAGAGGGAACATGCCACATTCTTGAATATGTGGTTAGAAAAATTTATTTTCTATGGTCGATCAAGTGGGACCAACCAACGCCTTCCTCCCCGCACTGAACTTTTGGCTAATGGTGTAAGGTTTCCTCTGGCCGATACCTTCCGAGCTCCACTTATCATCTTCTTCATCAAGTGTCTCGTAAACTTTTGCTTGGCGAACCCATCGGCAACCTAGGAGGCCCGTGGTGGTTTATCAACATGTGGTTGAATGCCCATATGCACAAAGCGTTTGCAATGGGACTTTTTGCCCAACAATTCCCACGAGAAATTCTTTGAAGACCATGTGCTCGGGGACGATGAATCGGCAAACACGCTCACCCCTCAATTTTGGTGAAGCCATAATTGTCCTTCCTGGAACAGAGGCCAATGAAGACCGGATCGCAGATTCTTCCAAAGCTTCTACAATGGTCTTTCTCGTGATCATAGGGGCTGGGTACCTTATATTGACGAGGAAAATAGATTCCCCTTCTTTTCAACTTTCTTTGATGACACCTGAATCGGGATAAGGAACTCATGATGGCCATCATTACTCCTGTGGCAATTCCAAAGTAAATACATTTGGTAGCGGAAAAACACCAACATTACGTATGAATTTTACAATCCATCGGCGGTATCCCGTCAATTGGCTTTTGGGCAACCGCCAATCAAACTTTGCTTTGCCGATGTGATCAAACCTGTGGAAACAATCACCGTGGGAGCAGATTGGAACAAGGTAGTACAACTCTCCCCGATGCCGATACTCTGAGATGTTGATATATCCACCTGGACGCCAGATCCTTCATCACCGAGTCATATAAGCAATGGTGGCGAGAGTGGAAGGAACAACTGTTTGCAACTTCTGCTCACACATATCGGCACATGATCGACCCTGAATATGCCATCCCTGACGACGCAGTAAGTTTCTTTTAACTCCCTTCTGCTTTTCCCTTCATATATCAGTAACTAACTCTCTTATGACAGGTTAACAACCCAGCACCATCTGTGAGCAAAAGTGGGAAACCCTTCGATCTTCAGCCTGTTTCTCCGATATCATCGATCGGCTACAACGCCCCCACCTTAACTGCTTTGACTCACCAGAAGATCCATACCAAGACCATCACCTCTAAGTCCAAATTGGCTACAGCTAGGGCCACTCCATCGGCTGCTGCTACAACCTTGGTCAAGGCATTCAAGGTAACAACCTTGTTTATTTCTACTTATGCCGATCACAAACTGTATTAACATTAACCATCAGGGGGTAAGAGCTGCTGCTGGATCGTCATCGGCAATTCCTCCGATATCAAGCACCACTTCTTTTGACAAACCTTCAGAGGTATCCTCTTGACTTTTCATTTTATCTGTTAAATATTATACCTTACACTTGTTTTGCAGCAACAATTGGGTACATCGGCAAGCGTACCAGATATCCAAGCTTCACAACCAACAAGTGCCGATGCCCCCCAGCCAATCGTTGCCGATGCCCAAGCAAAGCGCAAAGCTTTAACAGATGCTGAGGCACAGCCAAAACGACAAAGGTCCATGCCGATCCCTACATCTGCCCCAATGTCATCGGTCATCATACCTCAAGAGCCAACCACCGATGAAGTTACAGAGGATATCCCATCGGCAAGCTCAGCCGATCCCCCACACGGCATACTCCAGGTTGCTTCCTCCAGTCAAGCACAGGAAATTGCCTTGAAACAGGTAAACCGATTAACCTAGCTGATTTACAATACTCATACTTATCCTTAACTGACCTCCTTTTCTTTTCCTCAGGAACAAGACTCCCCAAACAGCCTATTCTCCTTTGCTATTGACGTCTCTGACGATGATGGAGAGGAAACAAGTTCTTCCCTTGCACTGGGAAC